TAATAAGCTCTTTGGTCTTCCTCTTTTCCTTTAACCTTGAAGACTGAAGGTGATGGCTTGTCATTTGACGCAGTTGGATGCTTTCCTCAATGTGTGTCCTAATCACTTCCAGCGCTTCTCTCTGATTTCTTCCTCCAATGGAATCTGGTTTGTTCTTTCCTACAGTAAGATGTTGCTGATGGTGTCTGATCAGTGGAACCAAAATATTTTGCCTAAACAATTGTCAATAAACACTTGTATCTTGTGGATTATGGCCTTCGTGGTTCTTCAAGGTTCTGCCCCAGACAGTAGAACTTACTTGAAATTTATATTGAAAAGTATGACTTTGGTGTTGGTACTTACTGACAATGCTTATTGGTTCATCTTGAAGGAACTGTTGCCTCTGACTGAACCTGAACTCTCTTGTTAGTTACTGAATCATATTCAGTTAATGATCTAATCCTACTAACAGTAATTGTAATACTGTAGTGAAGGAGAACACAGGTGAGGGCAACCGAATTGTATCTAACGATAATTACAGAGTTACTCAGTAAAATAGGAAAACCATATCGTAAATGGGCAATTTTTAAATCTTCAATCCATCATCAATCCATTGTCTGACATTTCACTCACTATTCATGCGTTTCATACAAATTCCATTGTATTCCCACTCTTCCTTTCTTGATTTTCCCCCATCTTCTGCTGCCAGACATTACGTTGACACTCACGTCATATACTACTTATAAGTAGCGCGAACCACATTACTTCTGGTACACTTTGAAGACAACTGTAACCAGTAACATAATTCAAAAGTCTACTTGACCTTCGGAATTTTCAACTTGTCTATATTTCACACCGGCGTTTCATCTCTTATTTCTATGTTTTGTTTTAATTTTCTTTCCTCATCAATATAGCTGTTCAACAAGGTCGTTTGCCAACATTTCCATTATTATATCATACATATTTTGGTCTATCAAATTATCTCACTACAAATTATCATCATCATCATAATTTGATTGGATCAAATGTAACTCAGCTAATCAATATGTTGTTGTTTGCCGAATATAATTCATATCCATATTTAAATAATGAACTATTTATACATCATCTACATTTCATATTAAATCAATCGAAAAGAACAATGGATTTTGAAAAATGTCATCAGAAAAATATCAACACTTCTGAAATATGCAACATGACTACTTATAATGATATAAGTAGTAAGGGTAGCAATAATAATCATGATAATAGTAATAATAATAACAGTTCAACGCTGAGTTCATCCATATTTCCATTTATTGATTATCCGGTTGATGGAAAGTCAATGACGGTGAATTCGCCAACATCATCATTATTTGGGAAAAAATCATTCATTTCAAAAGAATCACCATACAGTAAAACAACAACGCATCACCAACAATTCAACATGTTCAATGAAATAACCCAATCCACATTGAATTATTTATGCGTATTAATTAAATGGGCAAAGAATATTAGTTTATTTACAGAGTTACAAGTAAGTTTTCCTTTTATTAATTGTTGGGGATGTTAGATCCCTAGAACTCGATTGATAAATGCCTTCATTTTGGAGTTCATGTTTGCCAGCATGGGCTGATCAGTTGACCTTGAAACCACACATTTCTCATTAGAAAAATCCTTAGCTGTGATTAAGCTGCTGTATCTTTTAGTGTGCTGTTTTTGTGACTGTCCCAAGGACATTTCTATGATGTATCAATAAACTGGATTTGTGTGCTTGATTGTATTGTGATTGCTGGGTGTTTCTACGCTACACTAGACTTTTCATCTATCAACTATTCAGGGTAGTCTACCTGGACGCTAGTTCATTGTCTCGTTGGCGTTTATCGACTAAGGTGAATCCGTAATAGTTTCAAGCATACTTGGTGACGAACCTAACATTAACAATTAAATATTTTGGAGTTTGACAATTATTTCATGTCATGAGAAGAAGAATTTAAGTTTCATTTCAAAACTTATTTGGTTGAGTAATCGACGTAAATTTAAAACAAGAGAACACATTACAGTGAGAATAAAAATGACGATTTCGTTCATATTTTAGATGAAATGAGTAATCTAAATGTACTTGAATGCTAGAATTGATGTTTATATTGAGGTTTGGACTTGATACTTTCCATTTCTAACTTCAGCTTATTAGCCATTTGTTATGTTCGTTACCAGATATGCCTTTAACTATTACGAGTTCACCTTAGTCGATAAACGAGAACCAGTCAATGACCCAGTGACACGGTGAGCTACTCTGATCCGTTGCCGCAAACTAACTGACCAAAAAGTCTTGATATAACGTAGAAAGTCTATTCTACAAACACCCAGCAAACATAATGATCTCATGCATACAAATCGCGTTCATTTATTCACCACAGAAGAGTCATTGAGAAAGTCACAAAAATAGCGTACTAAAATAACACATAAAACCAATCACAGCCACTGATTTTCTTGGTGGGCAAGGTGATCTCAAGGTCAACTGATCAGCCAATGAATCAAATCCAAAATTAAGGTCTTTATCAAGTTAGTTCTGGGGATCTAACGTCCCCAACACCATTGAATTTAAAATTGTAACACTATACGGAAGATTTCCTTTGAGGATGAATACATTCCAGTTGAGATTGGCATCGAAATTTAATATTTTATGTTAGTAATCGAGGTTAGTTGAATTCTTACACATACTGCTAAATCAGTTTATTTAAAGTATGCCAGTGAGTGGCGATTGGGTAGAACTGGAAAGAAACGCCGGCGACAAAGTAGATCGGAGACTGCTTTTCGGGTGGCCTATGCTCTATTAAGGGATAACAGGCGTAAGTAACCAATTCATGCCAATATGTGAGTAACAAGAAGAAACTTTCATTTCGTTCTAATAATCTCAACAGAATTTTTCCTAGTTATTAACTTAAATGAATAAAGGATGAATATCATTAGTAGAATAACATTATTCTCAACTAATTGCAACCTCAGATCATATTATCATTCGATGAAATAAGACAAGTGCACATATTTCATATTGCAAGTATCTTGAGTATGAAGATAAACTGTAGCAGCAGGTCTCAACATGCACAAAGGGAAAAGCAATATTCCCCGGTACAACTCAACAGGTGACAACTAAATCACTCTTCATAGAGATGTCTTGGAGGGCTTAAAAACCTTCACATATCTGCGCAGCATCTTTGACGAGCGAGGCGGATCTGATGCACATGTGAAGGCGCAGATCGGCAAAGCGAGGGACGCATTTCTACAACTGAACTACATCTGAAACTCCAAACAACTGTCAATCAACACTAAAATCAGAATTTTCAATACAAATGTCAGGACAATTCTACTGTATGAGGAGGGAACTTGGAGAACTACAAAAGCCATCATCCAGCAGATATAAGTGTTAATTAGCAGTTGCTAAAGTAAAATACTTCGGATACGTTGGCCAGACACTATCAGCAACAACTCACTTTGGGAGAGCACAAACCAGATTCCAGTGAAGGAGGAAATCAGGAAAAAGCGCTGGAAGTGGATAGGACACACAGTACGGAAAGCAGTCAACTGAGTCATGAGATACAATTCACTCGTCTTTCGACCATATCTATTCTTTGTTAATATCCTTGGATATTTTTATTGAAGTGCGTTTGTGTGCATGCTTACTTAGCTTATTGCGTGCCTAGCTTAATTTGTCTGACTATAAATACTTAGTCTCATGCCTCATCGCATTGAGTCGGCTGACTCGCATTCTCCACTTGGCCTTGCTTTACTTGTACGCTTTTTATTCTTATGCCCGTTTGCTCAAATTCATTCGCAAAATCGTTGTACAAATGGGGTTTGCTTAAGAATGATGTACGAAAATCGAAAGGAAGATTTATTTCATAGCATTTTCGACTGTTCTTCGGATCACAGGGTACTAAAGTGGTCAACTCTACTTCGAATCTAACTAAAACAACCTTTAGTCAGATATTAAGATCACTGGATGCTGACTTAGCAGCCTAGAGGTCAAGCGAAGATCCTGGGTTCGAATCCCACTGGCGGGGTCATGGATGCACACTACTGATGAGTCCCATACTTAGACTAAACAGCCAGTCATCCAGTGTTTCCAAGTTTCCAGTGATTGTCCATCCTTGATCGATTCACAGTTTCAATGAAACTTAACTTTTTCCATAATACCATTTGGCTAATAACATTTTTTGGGGTAGAGTTTTGGAGGTTTGTGTTTTTACACATTTGAAATCATCAATCAATCATTGTTAGGCTAACATTAGAAACCTGGAAGCACTGGACGGCCGTTTCGTCCTGATATGGGACTCATCAGCAATGCGCATCCACGACTCCTGCTCCTCCCAGGATTCGTTGAGAAGACGTGACCGATGGAGTTCAACCCTCTCGGGTGTTGGCAGTAACTACCAAAGACAAATAGGTGAGGTCGCACAAAATCCCTAGATCAGTCAGAGTTAGAATTTAACACCGTTGGACGCCGGCCCAGTGGTCCTATGTTTAGGCGTTCGCGCACAATACCGAAGGTCCTGGGTTCGAATCCTGCGACGTGCAGGAGTCGTGGATGCTCACTGCCACTGATGAGTCCCATACCAGGAAGAAACGGCCTTGTTTCAGTGCTTCCAGGTTTCTAATGGTGGTCTAACAATGATTGATTGATAATAACATTTTGTTTATTTACCAATGAGAATATTTACACAGTCCAATAATAATACACAAACTTTCAGGTCAAATTCAATAACATTACTTAACACTTGATTCTTTTTAGAGGGCAAACAGGCGAAAATATCACTTAAAAACAAATCTGTATTTGTAATTTCATTTGTTCATTCAACTGATAAAATATATTTTGATATACATCGATAGATAGATATTAAATCACTCAAAAACACAAAATAAAAACTGACAGATCTCCTTTGGGAAAATTTATGAAATTTTAAATGTTACTACTATTATTACCAACTGACCTTTGTTATGCAACAGGCCAATCATAAAGTCATAAAGATTAATTAGACTATTCGTTCGTTTTCTGTCCGTCCGTCCAATTAACTTAATCTAATTAGAGTATTTTTTCTATTGACGGTTAAACAAACTTGAATGAGCGCCGAGGTAATTAAGCACGCACACACACACACACAATGAATGTGAATATATAAGTAATATATGCATGCATATCTATGCTAGAAATTTACATAACACTACGAGTAATTATTATTATTATTATATAGTTACTAATATAAAAATTATAATGATAATCTGTTGCCTGAAGCCAAATATTCCCGGTACAAATCAATTCATGCTGAGTGTAAATTCGTATTTTCCGCCTTATGTATTTTCGCGTAATTTTGCTGCGTTTTTTGAATGATTGAACATTGATTAACATGAGGTGTGTGTTGTTGATGTTATTGTTCTTATTTGAACTGAAAATTGGTAAACTAACGATGTTAGTTAGCTGTCGAGATGAAAAAAAAAAACAAAGAAAACAGTTTTATTTCAAATTTATGATTATTGAATTATTGAATACAAACAAGTTAGTTTTAAATAATAGTAGAGATCAATGAATGCCAACTTATGACTCATGAATAATTCTGTTCCCATTTTTGTTTCAATGAGGTGAATGAATGTTGAGGTAATGTGAGCTTGTTGATTGTATTATTATTTAAAGTAAAGGTATGTGGATGTTAAAGTGACAGATGGTCAGTACAGTATTATTATTATGATAATTGGTTAAAAATTAAGAACTAGTCATCATACAGTTGTGAAGATTGTTGAATTTTACTAAACGGCCGTTTCATTCTAGTAGGGAACATAGCAGCGGTGCGCATCCACGACTTTGAGAGCTTTGACCAATCGAGTTCAATCCTGTCAAGTGTGTGGCAGTTACTGACTGAAGACGACGGGTGGATTGGAACAGCAGCGTGGATTGGTTAAAGTTAGACATCAACACCGTTAGATACCGGCTGAGTGGCCTATAGGTTAAGCGTTCCAGACCAAAGGTCCTAGGTTCGATTCCTGTGTGTGGGATTCGTGGGTACGCATTATTGATGAGTCTCATACTAGGACGAGATGGCCGTTCAGTGTTTTGAGGTTTCTAATGACGGTCTAACAATGATCGATTGATCGTCTGAATAAAAATAAGACTACTGATTCGTTGTTCCAAGTGTCAATATATCGTTTAAAATGATAGTGTTATGAGTCATTTTAAGTTTGAAACATGTTACAGTTTTTTCTGTTTGATTTTTTCCTGAGGAGTATCAGTTGTAGATACATATTTTTGATGAATATTGAGTATGTGAAAACATTCACAATTGATTCAATAATCACTGATATAATACTTATCTGATCCTTCAGTTGTAATCAAGCTCTTTTAGTTTAGTTGTGATTCAACCATTAGTTTATGTTACTTAAGAGCGAATAATTAGAAGTAGTCTGTAAGAAATTCTAGCGATAAGTTTTGTTCAGTCTGAAAGGTATGGACAAAGTATATTTATAATATCAAATTAACCGATACTTCATTTGTGAACCGAATCAATCTGAATAGTATTGTGATAAAGTTTTGACATTACGGGGTTGTGAAGATTGTTAAGTTACTCATTGAAATCATGAACTAATCATTGTTAGACCACCATTAGAAACCTGGGAACACTGGACGGCCGTTTCGTCCTGGAATGGGACTCTAGCAACACGCATCCGTGACTCCTGCACCTCGTAGGGTTCGAACCCAGGACCTTTGGTCATGCGCGCTATCACCTATCCTCTGAATCACTGAGCCAGTATCTAGGGTTCCCAATCTACTGAATTTCAATGATTATGAGGATTTCATTCACATGCAGAGCTGACAACTGTCAACTGTCAAAAAAAACTAGTTCCAACTATCTAGTAACATAAAACCTAATGGTATCAGAGTTTCCCGACTAGTACAATCATTACATTTCAGAGAATTAAAGTTGATTTCAATCTAAATGTCTAGTTGAATAGCTCTACTATCGTACTGCAGTAATGAAATCAATCGGAAATACTATTTATCGTTCTCCTGTTGTAAATCAATATGTCTTAATTCCTACTGATACTGCAAGTAAACATACGACTCAGAGCTGACTTCATAAAACGGTAATTACTAAATTAAACCAGTTAGTTAAGTGGCTTATTTAATGATTACACGGCATGGATACAGAAAGTCTGACTGGTTTTCGTCAACTTGCATCACTTGTGGGGGAAACGAGTTTACTACATAGCATTATTGTCCGTCCTACTTTATGGGTGTGGAACACTAAAAGGTAGAGGATTTTGATAGGCTACTAGCATTCGATCATACGCGTCTTTGAAGTATTGCACATCTATTCTGAGACCCCCGAATAAGCATTATTGGGGTTAGGAATGGGAGAGTAGGTAAAAATGGCAAATCAGTTGGTGGCGTAGTGAATCTTCATCAGCTGACATGAATATAACATATGTTACGTATGCCAAACCACCGACCACATCCACTGACGATGCTTTCTGGGGTAAAAGTAAGATGGCCAAAAAAGCTAGTGAGAAGACTGAGGCAGGCGCGGAAGATCGTATTATGAAGATTTACACTCTTAGTCAATTAAAAACGAAAACATTACATTGAACACTCTATTTGTACACCATCTTTGAGTCGTGACTTTCAACGATCCATCCTTCTTCCATTCCTGCTGTTGCTTCCTTTACTTCCTGTTGGTACCCCATTTACTTCTTGCTTTTGCTCCATTTGCTTTCCGTTTTTCTTTTCTGACCGTGAGACTTCTTTCACGTCCCTTGTACTACTTATATCGTTCGTATAAGTAGCACATACCACACTAGGAGTGGCCAAATCAAAAAATGAGACCAGTCCATCAAGTTACTGATAGTTAAATGCAGCCATATTAGTAGGTGTAGACTACCTGGTATGGGGTCCGTGCGATTATCATAACCAAATGGTTAGAGACTTTGAATCACATTCCTCAAAATCCTTTACAATGGTGCAGGTGAATCCATTCCTACAAATTCTACTCTTCTGAATTCCTCATAAACTTTTCAACTCTCTTCACTGAAATTTGCCTTAGATTCCTAATCTTTACCCTTACAGCTAATAACTACTACGAATCTACAATTACGCTTGATAACCTAACCTAGCTATACTAACTGAGGACATAGTAAGTTGTAGCAATGCAAATCTGCACCAAGTTTTACATTACAACCGACTAACTTATTGTTAGCCTCGTCACCAGGTAGGCTTAAAACTATTACGGGTTCACCTTAGTCAATAAACGCGAAAGAGACAATGAACCAACGTCTAAGTAGGCTACCTTGATCTGCTGACTAATGAAAAGTCTTGATGTAGTGTAGAAAGTATATTCTACAAACACTGTTGGGGACGTTAGATTCCCAAAACTCGCTTGTTAAAAGCCTTATTTTGGATTTCACGTTCGCGAGCATGGGTGGATCAGTTGACCTTGAGATCACATATTTCCCACCAGGAAAAGCCATGGCTGTGATTGAGCTGCTGTGTATTTTAGTGTGCTATTTTCGTAACTATCCCAAGGACGTTTCTATGATGTGTAAATAGACGAGAGTTGTGTGCTTGATTGTATTGTGGTTGCTGAGTGTTTGTAGAACTTACTTTCTACGCTTACAAAGACTTCTGTTTACAGCTTGGGATTGAAGGTAGCCTATCGGGACGGTGGTGCGTTGTCTCGTTCGCGTTTGTCGACTAAGGTGAACTCGTAATAGCTTCAAGCTTACCTAGTGACGAACATGACAAACACCCAGCAATCACAGTACAATCAAGCACACAAATCTCGTTTATTTATACATCATAGAAACGTCCTTGAGACAGTTAAGAAAACAGGACACTAAAATACACACCATCTAATCACAGCCATGGATTTTCCTGGTGGGAAATGAAATCTCAAGGTCAACTGATCAGCCCATACTCGCAGACATGAAATCCGAAATGAAGGCATTTATCAAGCGAGTTCTGTGGATCCAACCTTCCCAACACTTATTGACTCATCAATTAGAAAATCATTCTCAACAACTTTCAATGATTATCTGGTAAAAAAAAGAAAATACAATTTCTAGCTACAACAATCTATTCAGTTTTCATTTTATACACACACACACATTGATTATTGAATTTTGTTTTAATTTTTGTTTGTTTTTTATTTGTAGCCAAATGATCAATTGATCTTGTTGAATAATTCATGGCCAGAATTATTTATGCTTTATTTAGCACAGATTTATAATAACATTTCATCGAGTAGTTCTTTATCCGATCATAATAAAAATAATAATAATAATAATAATAATAGTGATAATAATCATACTCAATCAGCTACATGGAATTGGAGGAATTTGTCCAGTAGAAACTCTCATATGGATGTTAATGATTGGATTCGTGATAAACAAACACAAATTCATGAAAATCTTCAAGTGAACAGAGAAGATTATTCATTGAACAATTCAACTCATTTTTCATGCTTAATTAATCAACAACACTATTCAATGGAATTTCAAGATCAATTAGAAAGAATACAACAATTACATTTAGATCAAACTGAGTATGCTTGTTTAAAAGCATTGATTTTATTCAATTCTGGTAAGTTTAATTATACATATATATATATATATATATATATATATATATATATATATATATATATATATATATGCATTGCGGGGTTGTGAAGATTGTTAAGTTACACATTTTTTCTTGAAACCATGAATCAATCAATGTTAGTAGACCGCCATTAGAAACCTGGAAGCATTGAAAGACGGCCGTTTCGTGGTCCTGGTATGGGACTCCTCAGCAGTACGCATCCACGACTCCTGCACCCCGCAAGATTAGAACCCAGGACCTTCGGTATTGTGCGCGAACGCCCTAACCGATCGATTCATGGTTTCAACAAATAGGTAACTTAACAATCTTCACAACCCCGTAATGCAAATTACCTATGCTCACTAGTGACTAGCTTCGTGAGGAATCTTCTCCGAGTTCTAGTGGGAAGACGTGACCAGTGAAGTTCAACCTGTTCGGGCGTAGGCAGTGTCTACCGAAGACTGTGTATGAGGTTGCGAACTCCGTGAATTTGATCAGGTTAGACATTAACACCGTTAGGTACCCACCTGCTCAGTGGTCTAACGGTTAGGGCGTTCGTGCACAATACCGAAGGTCCTGTGTTCGAATCCTGCGGGGTGGAGGAGTCGTGGATGCGCGCTGCTGAGGGGACCCGTACCAGGACGAAATGGCCTTCTTTCAGTGCTTCCAGGTTTCTAATGGTGGTCTAACATTGATCTATTCATGGTTTCAAAAAATATATATCAAGTGCAGACTGTTGAATCGAATAGATGTTTCATCATTTTGTTTTATTAGTGCTGGGGTCGTTAGATTCCCTAGAACTCACTTGGAAAAGGTTCTAATTATGGAATTTTTGTGTTTTCGCGCATCAGCTGCTCAGCTGACCTTGAGATTATATTTCCCACTCGGAAAATACCTGACTGTTATTGGTTGATGTAGTATTTTACTGCGCTATTTTTGTGGCTCTCTAAAGGACGTTCCTATCATGTATAAATAAACTCGATTTATGTGCTTGTCAGTCTCATATTATCTGGATGCTTTTAGAATACACTCTTCTACGCCATAATAAGACTTCTTGATATGGTTAGCAGGGCCTGGGAAAACGGATTAGAGTAGCCTATCATGTCACTGAGTCATTTGTCTTCGCTTTCGTCTACTGAGTAAGGTGAACTCATAATAGTTTCAAGCATATCATTTCATGATCATATCAGTAAGGATTTATCAGAAGCAGATTCATCAACTCTCCAGAGTGTCAGATATACGACCTTTAGGTTTTATAATGAAGTTGTCACTTTTAAATCTGAAAGTCAGAAGAGAATAATTTATAGTTTTGATCAAAATTTGAATAAATTGAAAATGTGAATATTTTTAAATGATGTATTTTTGTGGGGAGTGCTGTATAACAGTTTACAGGGAATTATACATTGTGAGCTAATAAAATATAGAGATTGTTGCAGAGCGTTAGTGCACTAGTTTATATGTTTCCTTCCGTGACCATAAGAGATAGTTGACTTCCAAAAGCTTCATAGCTTATGAAAAGCATGATTCTCTTTCGAAATTCAGTGGTACGCGTAAAACTATATATATATACTGTGTTGAAGAATCCAAAAATAAGACCAACACACCTAGTTACTAATTATTCATCAACTGATGTCTGGAAGTTCTTGGAGTTCTAGTGAGAAGCTGTAACAGGTGGAGTCCACTGATGTTGAGTGTAGGACAGTTACCCACCGAACGCAATAGATGGAGTCGCGCGATATAGTGGATTTATTCAGGTTAGAAAATAGCACTGTTGGATACTAGCTTATTGATCTAGAGGTTAGGCGTTTGCACGTAAGATCTGAGGTCTCGGGTTCTATTCCCACATGGAAGCATTGTGGATTAGCACTGTTAATGACTCCAATAATAGGACAGAATGGTTTATAATGGTGATCTGAAATTGATTGATTCATGATTTTAATGAAAAGATTAGAAACTTGAAAAATTACGAATCTATTTATGGAAAATTGGTGGAGAAAACTGGTGGGCGGCCTATGCTCCATTAGGGGTAACAGGCGTAAGTAAGTAATTTATGGAATTGAAATATTACTTATATAATATAGGCATACGATAAGTTTTGTGTTTAATCCAAATGGAGAGTTTCCATTTCTGATAAGCTACTTAAATTAGACTAACTATTCATTAAATGCTGTTTAAGTATTTTCAATTTAACAGTTTAGGAGTTTTTTTCAATAGATCATTGAATTCCATAGTTTGACATCATAATACGTTGAACATTGATACTGGAAGATAATTGCAATATATCATGAATTGATTGAAATTAGGGGGTATTATTTCTTAGGTGTCTTCTTACTGGTGTAAAGGTTAGGCGTACTCAATAAGACCTTTAAGTTTTAAACTTAATCTCCAGTGAGATAGTGGATTTGCACTGTTGAGTTCTGTACTAGACTGAAATATCTGTCTAGTTAGTTAGTTAGTTACTTACTTACTTACTTACTTACTTACTTACTTCCTTACTTACTTACTTACTTGCTTACTTATGCACTTACTTGCTTGATTACTTACTTACTTACTTACTTACTTACTTACTTACTTACTTACTTACTTACTTACTTACTTACTTACTTACTTACTTACTTATACACTTACTTACTTACTTACTTACTTACATACGCCTGTTACCCCCAATGCAGCATAGGCCGCCGACTAGCATTCTCCAATATACTATGTCCCGGGTCTACGTCTCTTGTTCTGTTCAATTGTCGCTCATTCTTCTCATGTTCGTCACCATTTTCTGGCAGAGTGTGTGTTCCTTAGCCTTCATATTTTCCACTAGCCTTGCGGATTCCACGTGATGTCTTGTCTTGTAACGCAGTCGGGTGTTTTTCTTCAACATGTGTCCTACCAACTTCCAGCATTGTCTGTCTAGCACTTCGTGATTTACATTTTTTGATTATAACATCTAAAATATACACTAAAATAAAATTTCCTAAATTAAAACAATCCCCTTAATTTCTTTAACTATCTGACCAAGTTATCAACCTTGTTATTTAAAACAATTTACAACATTCACTAACTCCAGGAGTTTTTGATATACAAGATTATTTCTTTTATTTTTTTAAGAAAAAAGAAAACAAAAACATTTTCACAATTGTTCAAAACTAATTAATTGTTTCTTCCAATTTAAACTGTATGTTTTTGCGCGCTTACACACAAACAGACAGTGGACATTGAACATTGAACAGAGAAAAAAACAAAAACATTTCCATGTTAAATGTACTACTACCTTATTTTTGCGCCATCTTGAATATTTCCCTTTTTTTGTTGCATAGATTACATCAAATGTTAGATGAAATCTATTCACATTCATGTAAACTATGAATGACGGTAATAAATTAAAAATGGATGGGTTTAGTGATTGTGAAAATGAAATTTACAATTATCCCATGTCTACATAAATAAATATTAAAAATAACTGTGAACAAATAATGTAAAATTGGAATACCCCTGTAGTTTTTTTTTTCTTTCAACATCTAGCTAATTAATAAGTAATACTCGGTTTTGTGTGAATATGTTTGTTTCTCGACATCGCTGTATAGTCGTTAGTTGTATGTAATTATTAATTAGATTGAATTGATTGAAAATTGAACAGTTTATTTAAACAAATGTCCATTGAAATGAAGAAGAAAAACAATGATAACTGACAGAATTGGAAGAAATGTAGTTAGAGAGACAATATAGGAGAGAATTTGTTAAGGGATAAGACTATAGAGTATACATGGTAGATACATAGATATCTATATATTTCTTTTTCCTTAGACTTAAATAGATTACACAATCTATTGTTGTAGCTAAATTGTTAGAAAATTGTAGTTAAAGCTGAATAACATGTGTCTTGATTGCATTGATGTTTAGTTTCATGTCTGTTTGTTTGTTCTTGTTAACACTAAAACGTTCTACACACTAGTAATGATTTAAAATTTGTTTAGATTAAGTCAGAAATGAGACAGCAGGACAAATAAATGACTTAAGCTAATTATAATAAATGTGTTTTTATCAGAAAAATATAATTGACAGTTATTATGATTAGTTAGTTATTGTCATATGGAATATTTCATATTTAAGTGGTGGGAACTGTTAACACCTCTGTGTTGTGATTTTCTTTTCTCCTACTAAACAGTGATGACTAAAGGACGAGTGTACTGTGCAGCAGTTTGCTTCGTCCGACTGTACCGATGCGAGACTTGGCCGTTAGGAGTAGAGGACTTTCGTAGGTTACTAGTCTTCGATCATCGATGTCTCCGAAGTATTGTTCGTGTATCATGGGACAACCTTATAAGTGATGCTGTTGTTAGGAAACGAGTACTAGGTAAGGATGGCAAATCAATAGATGAGGTTGTGAAACTTCATTAGTTGAGATGGTTGGGACATGTGTTATGAATGCCTAACCACCGACTGCCACGACGAGCTATGTTTTGTAGTGTAGGAGTAGGTCGTAAGAAAGTTAGGGGCGGCCAGACCAAAACATGGCACAAATCCATTAAATCACTGACAAATGGATTGAACGATGTTGGTAGATCTAGACTACCTGGTTGGGGTCGGCGAGACGATAGTCACCGATGGTTAGAGACCTTGAATGACATGGCTCAGAATCGTTTGCAATGGCGCAGGTGCATCCACTCTTTGTGTTCTATGAAATTCTAAGCTTCTGCATTCTTCATAATCTCTACCTTTCTCCTTCTAAATTTATCTTACTGAATTATACTTCTCGAATCAAATCTTCGCTCCCTAATCTTCTCCATTACTGGTAATACTTCTATTATAGCTATCACTTTTGTATTTGAATTGACAATTGCGTCTCTGTGCTGATGGTGCATGGTAACCTGAACTGATGTACGTACGTACGTACGAAGTTGTGCGTTGTATCTGTCTGTCTACTAAACATTACAAATAAACAATTTATTTGAAACTATGATAATTTTGAATTAGAATGTGATGGAGTTTTTCGAATCTATTGGTTAAGTTATTTTCAAGTATCAATGTTGTCAAGAGATTATTCAAGTGTTCAATAAACAGTTTATTGAGTCTGTTTAGAGTGTATCATGCTAATCAATAGGATAAACTATCTTGGACTTAAATACTTCTAACAATTTCTAATCATAGAAATAGTCAGTTTAATTGAAATCATGAATCAATCACTTGAAACCTAGAAGTTTTGGATAGCCGTCTCACGTTTGTATAAAACTCCTCGGCGGTAGTGCGCGTCCACGACCCAGAAAGTAGGAATCAAAGATTCGAGTTTAAACCCAACGGATGAGCATTGCTAACGAGTTCCATACTGAGATGAAACGGTCATCCAGTGATTCCAGGTTTTCGATGGCGATATAACGTTGATCATTTCATGATTCAACCAATTTGTACAACCCTATAATAACCAAAATGTATTTTATAAGTGCCTTTAGGAGACAAATGTAAATTAAATAGTTTATACCAATAAAACATTTGTTATCTACTTGAATAATATTCAGTAGTTTAACAATAAAGAAATAAGAGAAATCTCTTGTATTGAAAACAACCAAAAATAAAACACATTTATAAACAAGTTTATAATGTATTAACGGCATACAGTCAACATTTTAAAAGCACACGAATGTATTTGTTTATTACTGATGTAAGAGTAGGTCGCAGTGATAATTATCAAGTGTTCACTAGTGACTAGTTGCGTAACGGAATTCTCTGAGTTCTAGTGAGAATCTGTGGTCAGTGGAGTTCAACTCTATCGGTTGTGAGGCAGTGACTCACCGAAGACAATGGATGACGGTCGCGCAACATTGTAGAGTGATCGGAATTAGACATTAACACCGCTGAGTGAAGGTTTAGTGGTCTAGAGGTTAGGCATCCGAGAGTGAGACCGGACGTCCTAGGTTCAATCCTCGTGTGAGTAGGTCGTTTGTACTCACTGCTGGCAAGTTGCATACTAGTACAAGGCGGCTATCCAATTCTTTCATGTCTCTAATGGTGGCCTGAAACTGATCGATTCATGACTTCAATATACATAACCCTGCAATGACTAATTTCAATTAGGCTCCATAATTCTACATTTATCAGAAATCCATGTAAATAAGCTTAAAAAACTACTTATGTAATCTCTATTTTTAGATAAAAGAATACCTTGTTCATCTTTGATGTACAATTTATATGTTTATACTCATACTTACTGTTAGGATATTCATAAAATATCCCTAGGGGAGTTATTTTGTAAGTCTTATACTATTGGTCAATTCCTATTGGTCATCCTAACTGTCAATGTCACAGACTTCAAATGTTGTTTCCTATTCGACCTAACTGTATAAATATGCCTTATCTGTAGTGTTTTATGAACGCGATCTTAAGTCCCGGAATCCTTATTCTCTTCCGAAATCGGACCTCATATTTTCTGTGTGCTTGTGTGGTACACTTTCTACTTCATATCAAGACTTCTTCTTGTTCACTGGATTCCTAATAGCAACGCTGTTATTAGGAATCGGGTGATAGGTAAGAATGGCAGATCAATAGACGCAGTAGTGACATTTCATCAGTTGAGGTGGTTGGGACATGTGTTACGAATGCCCAACCACCGACTGCCTCGTCGAGCTATGTTTTGTGGTGTAGGAATAGGTTGGAAGAAAGCTAGGGGCGGCCAAACCAAAACATGACAGAAGTCACTGACAAGTGGACTAAGCTATGTTGGTAGATGTAGGCTACCTGGTTGGGGTCCGCGAGATGATAATAATCGATGGTTAGAGACCTTGAATGACATGGCTCAAAATCGTTCGCAATGGTGCCGGTTCATTTAGGCTTTGTGTTCTCTCAAATCCTAATCTTCTGGATTCTTCAACAACTCTAGTTTTGACTTTCTAAACGTTTCTCATTTAATCATACTTCTTGAATAATATCTTCTAATCCTAACCTCTCCAATTACTTCTAATACCCTTATTAACTCTTCTTCTATTGGATTTGAATCGACAATTATATCTCTGTGCTGATGTGGTATGGCGACATGAACTGATGTGCTTACGTACGAAGTTCTACGTTGCATCTGACTGACTGACTTCTTCTTCTACTCAATGGGGGTTCAGGACTCTCGGATTAGAGTAGCTTATCGTGTTACCGGACCATCGATCCTCGCTCTCATTTACCAACTAAGGTGAACTCGTAATAGTTCAAGCATATCAATTGGCGTGAAAGTGTACATCGTAACACTTACATAATTAGCTTTTCATAAATAACTGACTGGTCAGTGTTGTGTCATGATAATGAGAATCTAATTGAAAAGAATTAATTTTACGCTCAGTTTGTATTGTTCTAATCATATCTGATCAATTTTCATTATTATTTCTTGAAAGTTAGTTAATAAAAAACACTGTAAACCCTCGGTTAATCACTTGTTAACACTTATCAACAGGCTTCACATGAAATCTTGAATAAACTGACTCATCTAGTGGAATGTGATTTGGCTCCATAGGATTTCATAGTTTGAGACATTACAAATGATGTCGTTATTCAGTGATCAATCACTTGTAAATATATCTCAATCCTACAGAGGGTTCGTAGCGGTCCAATTAGTTTGATGGAAATTTCTCAAACACTGAAGCTAGGTGATGCCAAGTCCAGTTTCACGAGGAATATCAATTTCTTCGACAGTGCACACATGAACGACCACCTGGACTCAATGCTTCAGCTGAAAATCTAAGAAGTATCTAATATCTCAAAATATTGAATATTGACTAAACTAGAATAGTAGCTACTTCGCAACTTGATCGATAGAATTCAGTCATTTCCAGAAACCCTAGACAAATATGCAACTGGATACTATTCAACAGATCAGTGTATTGTATTCTTCAAGGTATCTTATCACATATTTTTTTCACTTTTCAGAAGCACCTGGATTAAAAGATCCAAGTCTTGTTGATTCAATTCAAGAAAGAATACAATGTGCATTGGAAGAATATGATAAATATCATTATTCACATTATCAACCATTACGATTTGGTCGGCTACTTTTACGACTGCCTAAATTAAAACAAACAGTCTGTTCACCGACATCATTACACTGGTTACAACAAAACTTTTTCCCATCACTTCATTTTCATAGTCACGGAGATCTTCAACTAGTAATTAGCGAACTATTTGAAAATAAAACAATTCATTTGCATAAATCTAATTTATCATTTAGAAATAATGATCATCATCTGTCAAATGTTGTTTCAGGCACTGAAAACTATTCTCACAGTTCACATACTTTACGACCATTATCATTTTCTGCACCAGTCTCATCATCATCATCCCCATTGTTCAATTCTCATGTAGATCACTACGACAAATCATCATCTAGGCTGATTCCATTTACAAACCCGATGTCTTCCATAGTTAACAACACCTCGATGTACCAAAATGAAAGTACCAATCACAATCAATTTGTACATTATTTAACTAATAATTCTTCCGGAAGAAATTCTACATGGTTGTCAAATTTGATGAAGAAATCTTCACCGAATACTGATCTTTATGATGAAGATCAGTTTACTGACAAGATTACAGAAACAATTGACAAAAATAATTCCTTGTTGAAAAATAATTTTGATCGACTTTTTTCGAATCAGTATAATGACAAACTTGACAATATTATTTATAATAATAATAATAATAAATTATCTTCATCTCCAATGGATTCGTCAAAATTCAATTTAAATGTCACTTTCAATAAACCGCCAGATAGTTTCACTAAAACAACAATCGATGATATTGAAAATACGGAATTAAATAAATTGAACATTGAATCAAATCATTTTTTCAATCATTTTCAACAATATTATTATTCTAAATTATCAACAAATGATTATTTCATAAATTCCGCCGATTCATTTTTTTTCAATAATTTCTTAAATTTATTAACAATCAATGAGAAAAATTCAAATTTACAAATTTACTATTCATTAATTCGTCAACATTTGAATTCACTGCATAATTATTGTACATGATAATATAATTATTGACAATAAAACTAAAATGAATTGCTGTAAATACTTGATTATTAATTATTTAAACTGATGCCATGAATGATTAAGAATAACTTTTTTTCATTGAATTATTACTATTGGGGAATATTTATTTCTGAGCATATATTTATATTTATATAATTTTTTGTTTATTTGATTTCTGATCAACATCAATTGTACATTGAACAAACGTAATTGATTAAATTGCATTTTATTGATCAACCGACATGTAATTGTTTTTAAATGAAGAAATAAAGAAAAAACTGAACGACAAGTGTGATTGATCATTTCAAAAATCAATATTTTCTTTTGGAAATGATTGCAGTGTTTGCCAGATATGAATTTAATGTAGATTAATTAAAATATCAGTTTATTGAAAAATTAATATATCAGTTTATAAGTTGAGATTATTATTGTATGAACTACAATTACTACTACTACTACTACTACTACTACTACTACTACTACTACTACTACTACTACTCGCACTACTACTACTACTGTAGTGAAGGAGAACACAGGTGAGGGCAACCGAATTGTATTTATCGCAAATTAAATTGATAAAATAGGAAAAACATATCGTAACCACCGTTAATTTGCAAATCTTCAATGCATCATCAATCCATTGTCTGACATTTCACTCACTGTTCATGCGTTTCATACAAATTCCATTGTGTTCCCACTCCTCCTTTCTTGATCTTCTCCCATATTCTGCTGCCAGACACTACGTTGACACTCACGTCATATACTACTTATAAGTAGCGCGCACCATACTACGACTACTATAAAACGAAGTATTAATTATAAGCCTTCAGCGATAGTCTATTCGGTTAAATCGATCGTCTTTCAGCCATTAGATTAAATGTTCTATCTCTTTAATGTAGGTAATCGAATAGTATCAAAAAGACATGATACAACACGTGTGGTATATGTAAATAATTATACTCGTTGTTATATTCTGTTAAATAGATTTCAATGATGTTCAATTTTCTATTTCGATGATCATCAGCTGAACAAACTTGTAATGTAAAGGAGTAAATGTTATTTAGACAGAGTTAATGAACATCATCGAAGAAATTTCAATTCATTTGTAGATGTGTAATTTTATAGAAAAATAATTTTTCATCAGCAAAATAGATATGAATATGAGTGGAAATTTTTAAAATTGGGAAATACAAAATGCAAATGATAAAGTTGTAAACAATTTTAAGCCATGTCATTCAAAGTCTGTAACTCGATGGGTTACAAATGTTTCTCAGACTCCTAACTAGGTAGTCTACACCTACGAACATGGCTCAGTGCAGTTGTCACTGACTTCGTAGATTGATGTCATGTTTTAGTTTGGCCACTCCTAGCTTACTTCCAGCCCATTCATATACCAGATAACATCACTCGTCGAGGTGATTGGCGGTCGGGCACATGTCTCAAACACTGCAACTGATGAAGATTCACTACTTCATCAAATGATTTGCCATCCTTACCTACTACTCATTTCCCGACAACACCATTGCTTACTCGGTGTTTCCGGGATATATGAGCATTGCTTCATAGGCACCTATAACCGAATGCTAGTAACATACAAATATTCTCTATTCTTACTGGCCCTGATTCATATCTGTAAAGTGGAATGAAACGAACTACTGAGCAGTAAACTCCTACTTTGGTTAGGAGACAAATATCTCACTTTCGCTAAAGTAATGCAAGCTGGCATAAGCTACTCGAGCCTTCCTCGTTACTTACCAGGTTATCAGGACTCATGATACTCCTAAGATCAGTTAAACAGTCCACACACTCAACTATCTCATTTCTTATCACTAGTTCAGATGCCGAAGCAAGCCAATCCTGAAGCAACATTTTGGATTTCAAATCGGAGAATCACATCCAGAACATGCTTGCATTGTTGTTTAAGGTGCTCAGAAAACTGCCTATTTTCAGCGTCCTCATCAAATAAAACAATGTCATCTGCATATTGTAAGTCAATAAGTGAATCTCCTGTTAGAAAATCAACTTCTGAAAAGTAAGACAGCGAAAATGTCGCCTCTAAACTCATCTCAATGGCAGAGTGAATAAGAATGGTGAAAGTGGGCAACCCTGATGAACAAAACTTGAAGTAATCTATTTCGGTGACAGATCGCCGTAAGCCCTACCTCAGTTGTGTTTGAGTAGAGAACCTGAACAAGGTAGATGTACCTCTATGGTACACCGTTCAATGACAGGCACTGCCACGGAACCTAACGATTAACAGATCTAACATTTACCGGTAAGTTGCGATTTTCAACCTTATTCATTTTTGTCATGATTTAATGTTTTATTCTGTTGATCATTTTCCAAGAAAGAATAAGAAATTCTTTAAGTCAGTGATAATTTTGTTGTTTCTGCAAGAGATTCGATATTTCTCTATGTTTAGCCTTGATATGCTCGTCAACTAATTTACTTGAATGCTGTTATGAGTTCACCTTACTCGGTAAACGAGAGCGAAGACAAATGATGCAGTGACACGATAGGCTATTCTAATCCGTTTGTCCCAGCACCGCTAACTATATCAAGAAGTCCTGATATGGCGTAGAAGATTGTATTCTAAAAGCCGCCAGAAAGACGAAGTTGACAAGCACACAAATGGAGTTTATTTATCCATGACAGAAACGTCCTTGGGAGAGCCACAAAAATAGCCTACTAAAATACTACATCAACCAATGACAGTCAACGATTTTCCTAGTGGGAAATGTAACCTCAAGGTCAACTAAGGAACTAATGCGCGAAAACATAAAAAATTCAAACTTACGACCTTTTCCGAGTTAGTTCTGGGGATCTAACGTCCCCAATAAACCTACACTACGATGATCTGTGAGAATTATCAAAAAGTTTTAAAACACAATCAAAAAAAGTATTATTGATAGAGATATTAATACTTGTAACCTAATGTCACATGGAATGCAGATATGCCAAAAACTAAACTGGTCATTTACAGTCTTAAACATCATTGGTAACATTCAACTCGTCCCCGAGACAAAATTTCACCGATGGTTAGCGACCCTGAATGACATGGCTCGAAATCGTTTACAATGGCGCAGATGCATCCACTCACTCATTGTGTTCTCTCACAGCCTAATCTTCCGGATTCGTCAACACCTCTACCTTTGTCTTTCTAAACTTATCTCACTGCGAATTATACTTCTTGAATATTATCTTCAAATCCTAATCTTCTCCATTACTAAGTAATACTTCTACTATCTTTACTACTAGTAGATTTAAATTGACAATAGCGTCTCTGTGCTAATGTTGTGGTATGGTAACATGAACTTATGTACTAACGTACGTACTGTGGTGCGCACTACTTATAAGTAGTATATGACGTGAGTGTAAACGTAATGTCTGGCAGTAGAAGATGGGGGAAGATCAAGAAAGGAAGAGTGGGAACACAATGGAATTTGTATGAAACGCATGAATATTGAAATGTCAGACAATTAATTGATGATGCATTGAAGATTTGCAATTAACGGTTACGATTCGGTTTTCCTATTTCACTGAGTAACTCTGTAATTTGCGATAAATGCGATTCGGTTGCCCTCACCTGTGTTCTCCTTCACTACAGTACAAAGTTCGACTCTGTAACTGACTGACTGAACATTCAACTCACTACTAATTCAATGGATAAAAGAGCAGTTCATTATTTTTTTTCTTAACCTAAACATTCGAGGCTTCTCTGACGAACATTAAATTCTTGATGAAATTTCTTCCCTGCAAATTTTTGAATTTTCCCATATATTTTTTCCAATTATAGTAATTTAAATTTCTATCATTTGTATTTTTAAAAATGTGTAGTAACATTGACTATTGAATTTTTTTTCGCATCTGTCTAAAAGTAGCATTATTGTTTTGTTGAATGTTACTAAGGTTACTTCGATTGGATTCGGTTTGTGCAAAATTTTATACATTTCCCTTCTTGTTTTCACTTAACAATAAAGTTAGTTATCAACTAGTTACAATCTCTTTTTCCATAAAAACTGTATCTTTCATTTCAAGTGGATTTAAAACTCTTTAAGTATGCACACACACTGACATTTATTGTGTGCTCAGTCAGTGCGTGTTATTTTGTATTTGTATACGTAGTGGGTGCACTACAGATGGACACACACACACACACAAATTAGTCTGTATACAATCTGAAAATTTCTCCTTACAAATCAATAGTCGAATGAATGAATGAATCAATGTGAATTTGCCGAACAGTTTTGTTGAAAATTCTATTCTTTTCATTTGAATCGTGGAAATTTTCATTATGGGGTTATGAAGATTGTTGACATACTTTTTGACGACATGAATCAATTATTGTTAGATTATCATTAGAAACCTGAAAGCACTGGACGGTCGTTTATTCCTGGTATGGGACTCATCAGTGGTAGTGCGCATTCATGACTCCTACGGCTCCCAGGGTCTTCGGTATTGTGCCCAAACGCCTAAACGCTGGACCACTGAGCTAGCATCCAACGGTATTAATGTCTAACTTCGATCAATTAACGGTCTTGCGCAACCTCATACACTGTCTTCGTCAAGCACTACTTCACATCTGAACAAGGTTGAACTCCCCTGGTCATGACTTCTCACTAGAACTCGGATAAGATTCCTCTCACGAAGCTAGTCACTAGTGAACACAAGTAATTTGCATTATGAGGTTGTGGAGATTGTAAAGTTACTTTATAAAATCATGAAATCAATGGAAATCACTGCCTGAAACATGGTAAGCATAGTTATTAGATGAGGTGTGACAAGATAACAAGATTATCTTAATGAAACCATTCATATGAATGAAACTTTTTACAATAAACATGAAAATTGATCAGTATTATAGATTGTCAAATATATTCAAATACATTGTAATGAATTAAACTTTTATGCAAATATTACAACTGTAATGGCTTAATAATATAATTATTTTTGAAAAAGCTTTCATCATGATCATTAAACAAGTCAGTTTTTGGAAT